GTTGGTTTCATTAACAATGGTGCGAACTAGCCCAGCTCTCCCCTATAGAATGAATATAAACAAGGGAATGTACGGACTATTTCTATTTTTCTTGTGTTCTCTTACCTAATTATATTCAATTACTGTATCGAATTGTCTGCTATCCTCTTACAGTGCAATATAACAACTTTTGGTCTTCGAAGGAATTATTAGTGAGCAGAAATTCGCCCATGTATCTGTTATCAGTCGGCACTTCAGCCAGTTATATAGAGGTATGTCCCGTGTTTTCCTTTGGCGTGCGGCACTTCCGACTTGCGAATCCCGTATTACTCAGCTATCGTAGCAGTGATCTCTCTGTTAAAATTATATTTGGAATGTATTTAACCAGTTCTATCACATATGTGATAATGACTGGCACCAATATTGTCCTTTAATCATGAACAGTCGTTGAATCGCAAATCGGATTCAAATCTGTTTAAAATCATACCATTCAAATGTTATGGAGAGTTGATTATGGTCTTGTCATGTTAATAAATGTCTAATTAATAATTTTTATCAAAATTAAATAGGAAGATTTAGCTCTTGTATAATATATTTTAATTTTTCCTCACGACACACATCAAATTGTTCTGCCATTTTAATTGTTGGTTTATTTTAATGTTGTTGCCGTTAGAATAAATCATATCAAGACTTATAAAGTAGTTCATGGTTTATGGAAGTAACTCTCTAGGTTATAATTCCTTGCATCGGTGAGGTCATTCCTTTGTTCCCAGGGGCCTATGTTACCCAGATTTACACAACACCTATTGGAAAGATGACAAAGACTTTGTGTTAATAGTTTTTAGGACCATAGCTAGGGAACCTACATAAATTCCTGCATCAGCTTGCTTTAATAGTGCAAGTAAATGTCAGATACTATTGACAATATATGTAAATATAAACACTTTAATTGTAAACTGAACTCATTATTTTATGATCAGCAAATTTTTGTCATAAATAAGCTTTTCAGTATGAAGTATAGGTTATTGCAATAAGAGTCTAGAATAGCGGATGGCTGAGAATTAAATGGATTGAGATACGAGTTAGAATTGGAAATGAAATGAAATAAAATGGGGTTAACATCCTATTGTTCTGCTCCGACTGGGCTAATGACGATGGCCATACAGTGTGCTATGAGGGAAATTTGCCTGGGCAGCGGCACTATGGCCTACTCTTATATCGAATTCCAACTGTCTACATCCAAACAACTAGACAGCAATAATAAGTAATCCATGCTACATCTTGTCAAAACTTCAAACACTGATAACTTATATATATTGATTTTACATTATTTATTTTTTAACTTTTATAACAAGAATGGTCAGCTCTTTATCAACATCTTAAATTGTGCATCTTTAATATAATTGAAATCTATTTTATTTACCTAATTATTTCTCTTGAAAGATATATAGACATCTGAATGACATTGACCTAGTAAAACAACAGAGATCAATTAAAACACTATTTGATAACATTTACTGTAATTTATCACACTGCGACCTTTCAATTAGATTTCGCATATCTGTATCAAACATATAAAATTTTATTTTATTTTTTTATATGCTTAAACCTTGTGCGGATACAAGGGGTATTTTGTGACTCTATATCCATATCCTTAACATTTGTGGTGAACTGGTTCATAATTGTCTAGCGAGAATTTTATACTTTGTCAGCTACTTAAAGATACATTATGGGAGATTTTTATAGAGAGTTGGCCATTCTTGCTATAACAGTTCAAAAGTAGATGATGAAAGAAGAATATATTGAAAAGTTCAGTGAAATTACTTTATTCTGTACATAGTTATCATCGTTGTAATATTTGACTAGAAATGGTAGTGAAATGTGCCTTCACCTTGGCTGATCGTTTGATTGACAGGCGTGAAATCCTATTTAAATCCAAGCTGTAGCCGAGCCATCCGTGGGTCTACAGAGTTGATTTTGGGCTTGTTGTTTAAATAAAGATCTAATTTATAATTTCTATAACATCTGAAGCCTAAATTAAGACTTGCAATAATCAGATTTTGCTCTTGCATAATGTATGTTTAACATCGGGTATAATGCTGCAAATAGAGCAGATACAAGACTTACAAGTGCCCAATTTGTTCTTCGATATGTGCGAGCTTTGTATTCGGAATCTTTCTTACTGTTGTGTTTGATCATTCTAGTAATCTAGATCTGCAAACAAATCTAGTAACTCTACCAACCCTGATAAAAGACGATTCTACATGGAAATGACAAAGTCATTTGCAGATTTTGATGGTTTAAAATCTTCACTGTTAATACCTCAAATATTTTTTTTTACTTTGATTGATTATTCTTCAGACTTTATATGAAGCTCTAGTTTGATTGTATTTGAATAAAATTACGCATCCAAAAACCTATTTATGTCTGTACAAGGGTTAATAACGATTTGTGAAATCTTGTTAAACTAAAGTAATTGTTATCCATAAAGGGAGCCCTGGTGGTTCAGTGAGTAACTTGAAGGTCTCGTATTTGATCCTTGCGTTGGCCCGAGAATGTTCAGTATTTCTGATGTGGTTCCCCTTGTCAGTGGTGCAGAACAGAGGGCCTGGCAAGGGACAATGTATAGTTGTTTGGATGGGATGGAAATTCACGGTCCCATGTACACTTGGTGTACACTTAAAAGATCCCTTGGTAGTTGGAATTCGATATATAAGAGTAGGCCGCAGGAGTCCTATCTGGCAGAATTGCCCTCATAGCTGACTTTATGACCTATTCCTGTTTTCATTAGCCCAGACGTAGCAGGACAGTAGGAATTTGTTATCCACACATAGTGTTTAATTGATCATGTCCCAATTTGAATTACTAGATTATATACCATTCAAAGGATATAAAAACATACATAGTTGTTAGAACCTTGTGTAAATTAGGAGAGACTTATTAATCCAACAAATAGCTGTTACATTTATAATTTATACTGTGCATTGATATCTAACAATAGAGGGGTCAATGACTGGTCATTGACCAAACTTGTCATCAAATATATTGTTTTAAACCTCTACTAGAAAGCAATATTGTATAGTTTAATTATGGAAGTTACAAATTGGACTCTAAATTTCAAAAGACCTAAAGCAATATTGTGATCACCAGTAAACACAAATTAAGTATATTCTCTATGTAAAATTCATCTGATGATGAAATTTTAAAATAAATACATGTAGGTCAGAGAAGTTGATTCTGCTAAAAGAAATGGGTTTGGTTTTTTTAATCTTTTTTTCCTCACTACCAATATTTCCCTAATGAAATTTCTCAGTATTGGCCTACATCTTCATTTCACTTGCTGATGCAATAAAAACAATTTGTGAAGAAATGGGTGGATGCAAACTGGAATAATTGATTTAACACATATGTTTGTGCAATTATTTATACTTAACATAAATAAATCAATAAAAATTGGGGGTGTGTCTAGGAGTTCGGAGGTGGAAAGAGGTGGGACTAAATTGGCTACTAAAATGGGGTTATAGTATTAGAGAATTGTTACAGAATTTGATGTGGGAGGAGAAATAATGTTTGACACGCCCACTACTTAGCCCTCCCCATCTAGCAATACATTACTGAAACATTCTTTTTGTATACATTATTCATCTTTTAAAATAATGAGCCACGGTGGCTCATTGAGAAAGATGTTGACTTGCTAACCTGGAGGTTCCGTGTTCGATCCCTGCAATGGCTGAGAAAGTTCTTCAGGATTTTCCAGCATGGTTCCACCTTGTCAGTGGTGTACGACAGAGGGCCTGGCAAGATACAATGTATAGTAATTCAGATTTGACGAAAAACCGAGGTCATGTGTCACATTGGCATAAAAGGTGGAAAGAGGTGGGACTAAATTGGCTACTAAAATGGGGTTATAGTATTAGAGAATGTTACAGAATTTGATGTGGGAGGAGAAATAATGTTTGACACGCCCATTACTTAGCCCTCCTCATCTAGCAAACCATTACTGAAACATTCTTTTTGTATACATTATTCATCTTTTAAAATAATGAGCCACGATGGCTCAGTGAGAAAGACATTGACTTGCTAACCTGGAGGTTCCGTGTTCGATCCCTGCAATGGCTGAAAAAATTCTTCAAGATTTTCCAGCATGGTTCCACCTTGTCAGTGGTGTACGACAGAGGGCCTGGCAAGGGACAATGTATAGTAATTCAAATTTGACGAAAAACCGAGGTCATGTGTCACATTGGCATAAAAGAACCCTTAACAGTTGGAATCTGATATAAGAGTAGGCCATAGCACTGCTGTCTGGGCAAAAATGTCCCTCATACGTGTAACACACAGTTGGAGTACAACAGTAGGACATTAAACCGTATTTCATTCATTCATTCTTGGGTCCGTTGGGGCCCTGTGCTACTGTTAGAACAGGGTTATGGTAAAGTAGGTTAGATTACAAAGTGTACAAATCAGGAAGAAATAAATATAACAGAATTTTATTGGATTGTGTCTAGGTTCTGTTTGCAAGTAAATTGGTTTTCATTATATTATAGCCTAGGAGACAGTGCCTTTGTAATGTAAAGACACTGCAGCATTTATATCCCAGTACTGGCATGATATATTGTTGAATCAATGTATCACAATTTGTGTATTGAATGGTGAGACACTGAATCAACGCATTGCTATTCTTTTTTATTTCTGTCCCTTTAGTAACATGTCCATGTCACACATTTATCCATAGGTACACAAACACCCTTTAATTGTTGTGGTCCTTTTTTTGATTCACATCAATATCATGATATAAAACAGTTTTATTTCTTCAATATCGGCAGGGCTAAATATATCAATTATTCATTTATCCTGTTGTTTTCTTGGTAAATATTAACCTGGTTATAGATCATGATACGAAGAGTATTGAAGCACCTGAATCGCAATATATACGTATCGTGACTGCTCCCTACTATCTCCTCCCTACAACTTGTTTTTTGTATCATTTGTATAGTTTTTATAATTTGTTGTTATTATTTCAGGTTTAGTTAGAGCGGGTAATATAACTGCTAGTGATCACAATCAACAATGTCTACAAATATTACAGGTACATTCTTATATTATATACTGATACACAATGTTATAATACTTATATACAGATACACAATGTCTACAAATATTACAGGTACATTCTTACATTATATACTGATACACAATGTTATAATACTTATATACTGATACACAATGTTATAATACTTATACACTGAGATACACAATGAAAATACATGACTTTTATAAATGGATGATTGTAAATCTGGTTTGAGAGATACACTTTTATCTATCGATTCTGAATGTAACAACATCAGTTGTTGCTAATTTTATTCTAATCTTAATCATTGTGCCAAAATTTCTCTGTAAAATAATGATGTTATGGCCTCTGTGGGTTAATTTTCTTGTGTCAGTCAATGTCCAACCTACGATTGTGCTGTAAATGACTTTTCTGCTTCAATATGCCAACATATACAATCAGTTTAGTGGTACATATTCATCTGAGAAACCGGAAATGATTGATAATGCTCAAATCCAATGAGATTTCCAACCAGAGGGAGGGGGGGTGGCAATGTGCCTTCCCTTCTGAAAAAGTGCCCTCAAATTTGGAAAGAGTTTTGCGGTATTTTAAATACTCAAGGAAATGTCTGTGTCATCATATTCCCATTGCCATAATGATAATATTGTGCCCTCTTCTCCTGCTACACTTCCCAACCTTATTGATAAAACTCAATCGCATTCAATGTAGGCAGGTGCACCATCAGTCACTCCTCGTTGTTTTTTTGGCTCTCGGGCCTCATTGGGGCAGGGAACCAGTCAACGCTTCTGGTGATCGGCTTAGTGGGTTTTAGAGTAAGTATCTGTGCCCTAAGTTTGATCTGGTTACCTTCCTTCAGAGGCCCTAGCACGATTGTGATGGCTCTAGCATATTTTCAAACATTTTAGATGAACTTCAGAATGTCAGTACATGTATTACTAAGCAGGAATGCAAAGGTGTGTGTGTGTGTGGAGGGGGGGGGGGGGGTAACTATAACTATGTGTGTCAAGAATTGTAGTCACCTGGTGTAGATTAATTACTTTACAGTTGCATGTATAACAAAGCCTAAAATTTCTAATTTAAGATGAATTTTAACAATATGTGTTGCCTAAAGGAAGATCAGTTACAATGAATTTTCTTTCAGAAATATGATAATTTTGTATCTGTATTGTTTCTTACAGGACTTAGGAGCCAAAACAACCCGGGAAAATCAAGAAGTTGTCACAAAAAGCGACTTAGTAGTTCTAGCTGTCAAACCACATATAGTGAAACCAGTTTTAAGAGAGGTCGCACCCATAGTAAAATCAGATACACTTTTTGTTTCCATAGCAGCAGGAGTCACAATAGAAAGTATAGAATCAGTATGTAAATTTTAGTTGATGTAATTTGATTAATAATAAAATTTAGAATAGAATGAGTTCGGTAGAAGTCAAGTGTCATACAGCTAGTTGGTGTTTTGTTAGGAGCCATGGTGGCTCAGTGACTAAGGCACTGGCTTGCAGGAACGAGAGCTTGGAAAGGAACAGTGTCTAGCTAGTCTTTCTGATGTTACGGGAAAAAAACAACAATATCCCATGTACACCTTAGCGTGCATGTAAAAGAACCTTTGTGAAGTCAAAATTAAAACCATCATCGTTTTTTTATTTTGATTATTAAATTTAATTTTTTGTCTGATAGTTTTATTTCTAAACATGGGCTTTAACTGTGAATATAATCTTTGCAACAAAGAGAGATTTTCATATCATCAAATCGACAATCGTAAAAACAACAATTTGAACAGGCTACAAATAGAAAGTATAGTTTTAACATGGAAATGATTTCCAGTTTGATCATGTACATGACTGCATAACAATTGCAGAGATTAAATGTGATGTAATTAGAAACAATCCGATTTTATGAAACATCTGATACCAATTCTTATTTTTTTGGGACACTCACATAGTTGTTGCTATATTTATTTTATCATTTCACTTTAAATTATTTTAGAATTTGCCAGTGGGGACAAGAGTTGTTCGTGTTATGCCAAATACTCCAGCATTAGTGTCTGCTGGAGCCTCTGTGTTAACAAAAGGAACGACGGCTAGTGATACAGACAGTAAATTAGTTAAAGCATTATTATCGAGTATAGGAATATGTGAAGAAGGCTCTGAAAGTTATCTAGATGCTGTTACAGGACTAAGTGGTAGTGGACCTGCCTATGTAAGTACACTGAGACCTTGAAATATGTGTAGATGAGACAGCCGTTATCATAACGATCATTTCATTGTACATTTGTTTGTATAGTGTATACCCTGACATTGAAATGTTATATACTATAATAAATAGAATACAATATATAAAAAAAAACATTGTTTTATCCAAGTTTTGATTTAGTTCATCTTTGAACAAGTTAGTAATTTTTACTGGGAAACATTGGATAAAACAATGTTTTTTTGATATTGTATTTTATTTATTATTGTATATCAATATATTTTAAATGCATAATTAGTCAATATTGATCCTATCAAATCATCTGTAATTGGTTAGTGTTACCAGTTTCTATTTATTAGAAGTTTCTCACATTGAAATGTGGTCATATATACACAGTGTTTAATGTCATGAGAAGAAGAATCCTATTGATTTTCCAATCATGAACTTGATCAAGGTTATCATTCGATTGAATTATTCATACACAACCTGAATGGCCTAATTCATGATATGTATATGTTTTGTATAATAAATGTTAGCATCTGGCAGAACTAAAAGTCAAATAAATTCTAATGACATCTGATGATTACTTCATGGGTTGTTACTCTTAATTAGTTTTTATATGCCCACATAGACATGTTTTTCTATTTTGTCATCGTCTCTGTCCTTATGTACCTACGTAGGTACGTATGTACATGTACATCCTTTTTCCACAATTTCTTGTGAACACTGTACAGACTATATTTATCATAGTCCAATCGCTCAGGTTGATATTTTCATAGAATCATTCACTTTTTGACAAAAATGACAAAAGTTATCATCCGATCTGTATGAAATGGTTAGGAGTGTCTTGTAAAAGTTCCTGGACAATTTAGCCACTGTGGGCTTATGTTTCATTGCATGGCAACATATCTTTAGTGTCTTGTAAAGGCTTTCATTACAATAGAAAAAAAGCCACACAAGGCGTGGAAAAAGGCCCACACAGCAGCCATGTCTCAACAGAAAAACTTTGATGTTGACCAGATTTGATATGGAAAGGATCCTGTAAGAAATCAGATAACTATCGTTTTTACAACTTGTTCAGAAAAGGAGACATAACTCTTGTACGGAAGATCACAGACTGCTCAAAACCAATAGGGTTCATCCTCTCGTGACCCTACCAGATTTGAAAGAAATCTGTTAAATACTATAATCTCTATTGCATTAACAAAGTTTTCTGGAAAAGGGGGCATAACTCTGGTACAGAGGGCGGTGGAATGCTGAATATCGAATGGGGTCATCGTCACAAGGCCACAATGCTCCACACCGAAAGGGTGACAACTAAATACAACCTCTGTGGATTGCTTAGATGACTTAGCTGCTGTGGGCATATGTTTCATTGTTTGACAATATATATTTGTTTATTATATTGCAGGCATTCGTAGCTATAGAAGCTATGGCTGATGGTGGGGTTAAACAAGGCCTACCACGAGATTTAGCTTTGAAATTAGCAGCCCAAACATTATTGGTATGTATTTAATATTCATCTGTTTGTTCATCAACACTTAACTACCCAGTACACACTGTTTCTTCATTACATTATTTGAGGTGCTAATACAATTTTAATGAAAATCTTGACTGATGATGTTAATTTTAATTTTATTACATGTAAATGCCCAGATTACATTAAACATAGGTTGGTTCGATACTTACAGCTGTGGAATGTAAATGACCTGTTGGGGATAATAAATGACCAGTTTGACTGCAGAATGGGTCAAATGCATATATTAGGCTGAAATATATAATAGGATTTTAAACTTTAATGGATTAAAAATTTAATCAAATAAATCAAAGTAATCTGGTTAACTGAAAAATCATATGGTAGTCTACTCGTGAAATGAAAGTATTTGTTGGACCAGATATTATAAATCGGGTGCGAGGATCTGGTTAATCAAAAACTCATGTAATTCTGACTAGGTGCAATGAATTATCTGTTAGGTCAGATGATGTGACTCGGGTGTCAGAGTCAGTAGACTGACGACATGGTCCTTAGATGTATACTAGTTCCTAACGCAAGAAATTAATCATAACCCCATGTTGTTGGGTTTTTTTCAGGGTGCAGCAAAGATGGTGTTAGAAACTGGCAAACATCCAGGCCAATTAAAAGATGAAGTTTGTTCACCAGGGGGAACTACAATTGCTGCTATAGCTTCATTAGAAAAATCTGGATTTCGAGGAGCTTTAATTGATGCCGTAGAAGTTGCAACATTAAGAGCTCATGCTCTGGGTGCTACAAAATAGAATTTTATCAGATTAGTTTGTTTTTTGTTCGAATGTGATTAAAAACTATTTAATATTTAACAAAAAAAGTATTGCATTAAACGTATCATCTTTATTTTGAAGAATAGACAATACAGGTGGCACAGGGCTTCCACTTCAAAATTTTGACTGTCGGACATTTTTGTTAACGCAAATGAAATTCATATTTCATGTGTTTTTATTTTATTATTCATTCACGGGTCTATACCATGTTGTCAGTATGGTGTACATATATTTAACAAAGGAATACAATTTTAGTATAATAATTATTTATTGATGAAATATGCCTTTTTGGCTCTTTATGTAATACATAAATTCTACTGAGCTTTCTTCTGAACGGAAATCTTTGTCAGTATTTCTCTTCTGCTCATCAAGTGGGGAACACAAAATTGTACTATATTAAAATGAATAGTTCTGGGATTATAAATTAACAGGAACCAGTTATTTTTTTAAGACCAATTTGTAATGACATATCAGTATTTTTATGTAGCATCATAAACAATAGACCAATCCTCAGTGCCACTCTGTCATTCTGAAATAATTCCTCTAAAAATATGAAAAGTGCGAAATAAGAGGAGCATTGAGGAGATTGTTTTAGTCCAAGCCATTGGATTGATTTAGCATTACATTATATAGTCTTTTGAAAACCATACCATATCCTCATAATAACTAACAATTCTGGATGATTCTTCAATCATTTAAGTATGACAATGATAATAATTCAACTACATACAAGCGCAGTGGATGACCAAAGTATCTGCAACTATGTTAGATGAGCTAGATAAAATTAAATGAGGTTTAACTTCCTACTTTTTTGTACCGAGACAGCTTAAAAAAAAACTGACCTAAATGATTTAATGTTTGCTTCCACAGAGGTGATATCGCAGACAGTCGTCCATCTAATGTAAATAAGCCTTATTATATTCATACAATTAGTTAATCGATAAGCTCAAGTATTGACATAAAAAATAATATACCAAAAATGCATTATGTAAGATTTAGATGAAGTTCTGGCTGTTCTTGCTATAATAATAGATACCGGTAATGAACCAGCGGCTGCCAGGCAGGGTACGCCCACATTTTCGAGAGATGGATAGAAAACAAGCTAAAACGAAAGTGATTTTTCCTACAATCAAGGGCCATAATTCAGGAAATTACAATTCGATATGCTCAAATATCGAAAGGAACCAAGATCTTTGAGTTATAAACTTACATTTCAAGTTTCAACAAAATCGGATAAAAATTGTGACCTCTATAGGGTCCACAACCTTGATATACCATATTTTTACGCAATTTGAGAACGAGGGGCGGCCATTTTGGGCCGATTTTCACGAAATTTGAACTCAGTCTTCCTTAGGGTGTAATGGTGATATAATAATACGTTTTTTTTAAATCGGATAAAAATTATGACCTCTATAGTGTCCACAAGCTAAAAACGCGATTTTTCGTACAACCAGGGGCCATAATTCAGTAAGTTACGGTCCGATATGCGCAAATATCGAAAGGAACCAAGATCTTTGGGTTATAAACTTACATTTCAAGTTTCAACAAAATCGGATAAAAATTGTAACCTCTGATATACAATATTTTTACGTTATTTGAGAACGAAGGGCGGCCATTTTATCTGTCAGTTTTTGGCCGATTTTCACGAAATTCGAACTCAGTCGTCCTTAGGGTGTAACCGTGATATAATAATATGATTTTTTAAATCGGATAATAATTATGACCTCTATAGGGTCCACAAGCTAAAAATGTGATTTTTCGTACAATCAGGGGCCATAATTCAGGAAGTTACGGTCCCATATGCGCGAATATCGAAAGGAACCGAGATCTTTGGGTTATAAACTTACATTTCAAGTTTCAACAAAATCGGATAAAAATTGTGACCTCTACAGTGTTCACAAGCCAAAAACGTGATTTTTCGTACAATCAGGGGCCATAATCCATGTAGTTACGGTCCGATAGATGCTAATATCGAAAGGAACCGAGATCTTAGGGTGATAAACCTATATTTCAAGTTTCATTGAAATCGGATAAAAATTGTGACCTGTAGACTGTTCACAAACAATTGTGGACAGACGTCCGGACAGGGGCGACGACAATATACGTCCACATGAAAATGTGGGCGTATAAAAATGAATATTATTGAAAATTACTGGAATATTCCAGGTGAAGTTATAACAGTTTGAAGTTTTGGCAAGAAATTGCTGATTGTCAAGTGCCATGATAATAAACAAAGTTTTCATTGGCATTTTCTGTCCATTTTAATGTTAACCTATTATATGAAGCCAGAAAAAAAAAAAACATGCAATAGGAAGATTTCGCTCTTGCATAATGCATCTTTAATTTTAAAATAACTTCATACTAACCAGTTTGTACAAAAAATATATCGAACAATTAATGATTATTGTGTTAGTATGCATGTTATGAGGATTAATATTTTAACACAAAAGAAACATTTTAGAACATGGCCCAATTACCTTCTGGCAAAATCATTTAAGTAAGTAACTTAACTGTGCAAGGCTGGGTAACTAAGCTAGTAAAAAATAAAGATTAACTATTTATTTAAGATTAAGCTATTCTGTAGTCATTTATAAATCATACATGGGCAATGAGCTGAAAATGTAGATGTTTATATATAAACAAATGTTTAGGTTTATTTGTCTGATAAACAAACTACCGGTATGTATATTGCCACTTATAAGTGACCTTTTCTCTGAGGAGCTTTGAACGTTAAGGACACAACAAAACGGGGATCTCAGAATTGATTTAACAGCAGTTTATTCAGTTGTAACTGATCATATGATGCAGTAATTTAACAGAATCTCGTTTTAAAAGTAATATTCACATCTGACATTTTCTGCTAAATGTTTTGTGAATGTGATGTTAACTGGTAACACAAAAAAAAAAATAATTACTTTGCCCTAAAAATATACACATCATTAATGCAACAAGAGATAATATTTTCCAATGTTCATAGATCCACTGCATTTGAATTGATTATAATAAATTATATTTATGTTAGTAAAAAGGATACATGTTTTTCATGTCAAACAATTGAAGAGGAACAAAATAAAAATATATTTTGAAATGAAATAGTCTTATCCCTTCTGATTTTAGACAAAAAGTCAGATTTCAACCCTAACCAACTTTGATTCATCTGGATTTATGTTCCAATTCCAACCCAATTATTTATAATATTTGGTCAAGATCAGAATCATTAAAATGTTTTTCTTTCGGTTTGTATTTGGAAACCGGTGCTTTTGAAGTCATATGATGATGATCGGAAATGAAATGAGATTGAACGTACTGCTTTTCTGCAACAACCAGGATTTAAAGAAATGAAATGGGGTTTAGCATCCTAGGCTAATGAAGATGGGCATACACTACACACTGATGTTTGAGGGAAATTTTTCCCGGACAGGGGCACTATGGTCCTACTCTTATATCAAATTTCAACTGCCAACATGCAGGACCTTAGTTTTACTCCCATCCGATGACCAGACACCAATCTACACCACTGAAGGCGAAAGTGTGCTGGAAAATCCTAGAGAGCTTTTATGGCCAACACCAGGATTGAACTGACCTGGTTAGAAAGCCAGCACTACCTCACTAGTCCACCACAGTTCCCAGGATAATGAATACAGGATTATCAAAATAACTTGTTAATATTTGATAGACTTAATTATACACAGGGCGTCAACAAGATATTTCAAAGAGATCAAGGGGCTTAACTCTGGTAATAACTATTGGAAATTGCTGAAATTCAATAGGCTTCTTGTCTCATGACCTTAAGCACTGTGTATAAATTTAAAGTAAATCAGATATTAATTTTAACCTCTAGTGCATGCACAAGATTTTTCAAATTGATCAAGGGCCATAACTCTGGCAGTAATTATCGGAAATCGCTGCAAATTAAACGCTTCGTTTCATGACCTTAAACACAATGTATAAATTTAAAATCAATCAGATATTAACTTTAGATATTAACATAATTTGCCCACCTGTCTTCAATAATCTTAAGGTACTAGTTACATTATACTGTCATATTCCCATGACTACTGCTTTCTCTGTGCATTCGCCTTTTTTGTGGAAAATATGGGTTCTATTTTCTTCGCTTAGCAAAAACACAAAGTCCTTTCATTAAATGATATTAATGACATATACAAATGTTTCTTTATTACATAGTAACACATGGTCAATGGTGTCTCACATTTTAATCTACAAATATAATAATTTATATTTCTATAATGGTTCTGATAAATGTTTTTTTCTATAATGGTTTTGATAAATGGTATATGAATGATTAACAATGACTTAATGGATTTATTATAGTGTCTTGCTGAAGTGTGTGTGCGCTAAAATCTATTTTATTAAAGACCTATGGCTTTTAAACTTCTACAAGACATAATAATCAATCCAACAAGACTATTTTGGAACTGTCCAGATATTCTAGAAAATATACATCCTTTCATTCAGATCTAATTTATTTCAATTGATTGGATATGTTGACTCGAGATTTAAAACTAATGATTTTTTTTGTTCGATTCATCTAATATTTGTTTATGCCAAATTGGAAAGCATGCATATGTATACATAAAACAAGATCAATTCCATAATAATGATATCAAGTATTCCTATCTATATTTACAAAGTGTAGCTGACAGACATTGTTGCTCCTTTTGGAGGTTTAATTAGTTATAATATTTTAAATTGAGAAATATCTTTACAAGAGACCTCGGCCTGTTTAAAACGGACTAATAATAATAATAAATCCATAATATCAATATTGCATTGTACTACATTTCTTGCAACTCCAAACATACCTGGTTTCCTCAAATTCAGTTACTATCCCTGGATATTATAACACGTATCTATCTGGTTCAGGCAAGACATTTACCCAATTCTGAAGACACAACTAAAATGTTCAACAACAGATATCCAGTGATTATGAGTGAATTAGAGCATTCGAGTTACATAGTTTTTGCTACAAATATTTGTACATGTAACACCAAATATGAAAAAATGTTGAATTTAAATTAAAAAATCTAAAAAAATAATGATAACATAGAACATGAAATATGGGGGAAAGGGGGAAGGAAATTGAAAATTTATTTTAACAATTTCTTCCTGGTGTACGAGTTTTCTATTAAAATTTGACACATATTTACAATATTAACAAGATCACTTTTAGTGAAAATATGGTGAAAAAATTTTATAACATTTTTTTCCCATTTTATATTCTGGTAAATATAATATATATATATATCGTCAATTCAGAAGCAATCATTTGAAGAAATTGCTTCCAATAAATGCAACTGGTATAGTTATATATTTATTGAATTTTAAACAGAACAATCAGCAATGGCTTTAATAATCCTCTCATTCATCATGAAAATAGTTGCTATTAAAAATACCCTGGTATACGAACAGATTAATAGTAACATGACAAATATTTAGCCTTTTCATGTCACTGTTTTCTAAATTTTCCCCAGAAATTTCCTTTAAAACTGAGTTTTCTTTAGCGAGTTGAAATTCGACCAAATAAAGTACAATATTCTTAATTTATAAAGGAATGGAGTTAAACGTCTCATCATAACAGCAATATTTTGAGATTAACATGCAACTAATTTTATTTATGGTTACATGTTCAATAAAAAAAGAAAGAATCTGCTCAAACAGAGCCTATGTCCAGGATATTCTTTAAGTGGCATTTAGTAATTGAACAGTAACACGCTAACACTATTTATGGAATAACAATTACTGGTTTATCAACATGCAACGTTTCGACGATGATACTCTTTCTTGTCTTGTCATTTGCTTGATAAAGACAAGAGCATCATCGTCGAAATGTTGCATGTTAATAAACCAGTAATTGTTATTCAATAAATAGTGTTACTAGTGTACGTCCAGGCTTTTGTTACAAACACAAAGCATAGTGTACATGGGGGCCTCAAGTCACAAAGCATATGTTACATTGAGTACATGCAAGTTAAATGAGTTGTTTTGTACATCAGTCTTGTATGTGCTTTGTTTAACAGGGCCCTCATTTTTAAAGGAAAAAAAGAGGGGATTATCAAAGTAACAACAAAGAATATATTATTTATAATGTTCTCAATAATATTCACGTTTGATTTGATGAGAATTTAAACATCTTTTACAAGTACTGTTGCTGCCTTAACTCACAGTGTCTATCACGTCAGCACTATTACAGTCAAATTCATTAAAACCTTCAAATAAATTGTCAGTCAATAAAAACTTTAACATTAACACATTATTCCGAACTGAGGACCTCGTCCAATGAGAATATCTCCATAGGGTTCATTTTGCTCAACTGTGATGGCTTGGTGTTTCTTTAAGACTAGTAAGGTATAGAATCGTGATGCTGCTTGTTTACGGTCCAGTTTCCTAGCCATTTCTTTAAAACTTAATTCCTCGCTATAACGGAATGCGATTTCAAATGTGTGTTGCATCTGTTGTGTTCTCTTACTCCACCTTTGTTCTTCAGCATCTTCTGTAGGTAAAACACCTTCAACTTCCCCTTCAATAACGTCTTCAAACGTCTGAAAAAAACAAATCAAAGTCAAATTATAATTTTGAAGGATACATATTGGCAGTTTTCCACTATACAAAAGAAACTCTATTCAATAAATCTACACTAATTTTGGAAAAGTAACTTCGGATAGTTGCTTAATAATTGTGGCTTCTACAGGACTTTAATCTGATCTTTTTCCCAGTAGTTATCAAATTATCACTTAACTCAAAGCACAATGTAGGTGTCTTTATTTGAACTTATTCAGAGGGAAGTAAATTCTGTTTGGTGTCAAATGTTTTCAATGTGTTTTGGGGTTCAAAGGAAGGAGAGAGAGAGAGAAATGGGGTTTAACGTCCACTCGACACAACTAGGTCATTTCGGGACTAACATATGGTTTAATTTTATTTCAATAATTCGCTTGCGCATAGGGGTCTTTAGCAGTGGGAGGAAACCGGAGGACCCGGACAAAACCCACGAGGTTGGACAGGCGATCTTACTCCGTGTCACGTACAACCGGGGATTCGAAACCACGCCAGTCGACTTAATGACAGACTTTATGATACAGCGCGCACACGCTAACCATTCAGCCATCCAACCCCCCGTTTTGGGGTTCAAACAATGGCACGCTGGTATTGGGGGAGATAGAACATTTCTGAGCCGAATTCAGAGAAAATAATTATCCATGACACTGGCCGGTTTCACAACCAACATTCTGAAATTATTTCTAAAATAATCATTTTAATACATGTACTTTGCTACCATGCTTGGGTCATTAGTAGCGGGAGGAAACCAACAAATACAAGTATGTAATTAAAACCATAGTTAACTGTCAAATATCAATTGAATAATACTTACGGGAGCATCATTTGCACCAACTGAAGGTGGGCCAACTGAGGGTGGGGGAACAGATGATGGTCCAACAGAGAATGGAGCTATCGAAGGAGGACCATCCTCCATATTTGGATCATTCAACATGGGATCATTGGGAAGATCAACAACATCTTCGGTAAATGTTTGTCCAAAGATATCCTGGGCGTTAGATGGTTCTTGTATTGCTGAGGGATCCTGGAGTAATGATGTGTCTGGTATGGTAGGGGGCTCCGGGACCACCTCTTTGGGTTTTTCCACTGTTTTCTCACTGCGCCGAGATCGCTTAGAGGTTTCATGAATTGATGATGGTTCTTCAAGTATTGTGCTCATTTCAGATTGACGTGTGACATCCACTGTAAAGAAATAAAATTGAGATATAATGATAATGTCTATATAACGTTATTTTGACAATTCCAAATGGGTTCAGTTATACCTATAAAAAAATCATTGGACAGGCGACCCTACTCCTTGCCACATACAAATGGTTGACTCAATGACAGGCCTTATGATACTGCGCGAATGTAATGAAACTTGCCTATTGCACAAAGGAACATGTCAATAATTTGAAAACATTCTGTTGAATAGTTCCTGAGAAAATGGATGACTAAAACTATGCGAATAAATCCAAGATGAACGCTGTTTCCATAGCAACAGGTATTCCCAGGAAAATTTTTCCACCGTTTTTGTACTACTCAATGGATGTGTTCTTCGATGTGTAAGCATAACATTACCCCAATTATGAGAGATGGAAACCTGTAAATTTTCACGAGAGTAATGTCGGAGAAAAGATTCTATTTTGATGGCATATTATCAGGTTTATGATTATATTTTGAATGGGGGCATGTTTTTAGATAAAGAAACAAGCTAAAAAAAAAAATAAGCTAAGAAATGTCGATAAATATTTTGTTTGGAATAGTTTGTTTTAAAAGATAGTGCATGTGATGTCTCTCAGTACTGTGGAGTGATGGTTACTGACAAAATGTTTTCGGGATGTCATTTATTTTTTTACATTCATCCGTATATAAGTCGAAGCCTCGAAGTGGAATATAAGACGAAGGCCAGACTTCTGCAGGAAAAAGTATCAACTTGTCGAAAATATATTACTTAGCAAGCAATCAAATTGAACATCTGGTAAAGACTACAATATTTATAACATGAACATCGAGAAATTCTGTAATTAACTTTTTCAAGAGAAATTACAGTAAAAATAATTTCTCCGGTAAGGCAACATAACTTTTATCCAACTCATTCTTTGCACAGATTTTTGTGCAGGTGGTAAAAGTCAATAGCATCAAAACATGTCTTTGACTGAACTGGCCTCAAATGCTGAAAGGGGATTGAATTTCAGTGTTGGCAACAACATACATGTGTGAAAAATTAATCACTGACATTAATTTCAACTGCATATATCCAAGTTTGTCCTAGAATTACTATGTAGTTTTTTTTTTGCAACTAAAAACAACATATATTTAACATGGACTAGAGGCAACTAATAACCACTCCCTAAGATGTTTTTTGACAACTGTTCATAAAAGTAAACCACAAAACCCAATTGAAATGACTATGTAATCATTCAGTTAGCGACACATTAAAGTCTCTCTTGACATTGTGCAAATTTGTGAGTGCTTACTCTTATTACTCTCCTTATAACCGATTTCCCGATAACTACGGCAGCAACACTTACATTGTTGTTTTTCTTCTTCTCTGGGTAATTCTGGTGTATCAAGATCTAACAGATCATCACCTGGTTCAACATCTTCTTTAATAGACTTTGTGATGAGATTTCTACCAAACAGACGAGTTGTCATACGAGATATAATCGGGTGACCTGGCAGTGCAAATAACTTCTCCACACCTCCTGTTTCCTTCCAGTGCATTAATTTTTTAGTGGGAGGAGCTAAATCTAATGTTGTGACAATGTCGGATGTAACTGACAGCTGTAATTTCATTGTTTCACTGGGGATTCCCTTCTGCTCATCTACAATCAATTTTCGCTTTCTTTTACCCTTCTTTTCTGTACCTGAAAATTTTAAATTGAAAATTGTAGTGACAAACATTCCAAGTAGTATCAATCTGTTAAATAAAATAAGTCATCATTTATTAATATTATACTGTACCGCGGTTAGCTGGCTAGATCTGTTAAGTAAAATGGGGTTTGACGTCCTACTTTTCTGCATGCGGCAATCAATGTGCTATAGACAAATTTATGACACCGTTGTCTGTTTGATCCTCAAATGTCAAAATTCTGGTGTCCTTGAATAAGAATCTTTATCCCTATATTTAGTCTAGTCTAGCACAGAAATTCGGTATGATGCAGAGAAATGACCTCTAGAGGGAGATAAGAACATCCCAGTATGTTTTGTATGTTATTATCGAGTACTAAAATACCCTTAGTGTTACTCTTGTCTGATGTGAAGGGTCCAAATGATATAAATCTACTAACCTGCTACAGCTGTGACATCAAGTGGTTCAAGAGCGAATGCCTCTTCTTCATTATGTACCAGTGTGGTTTGTTCACCAGGTATACCAGTAACAGATGCTTGGGGTAGAGCTGAAGCATTAGCTTCACTAGATATCGTATCATCAACTTTCTTTACTTCTGTAAAACATTAAAATAAATAATACTGATCACTTTTAAATCGACAACAGATTTTCTTTTTTTCTGTGTTTTGTAGATATTAATATGCACCTCCAACATATAGTATTTATCTCCAAACCTCGTCATATTAAAATGTAGCAAAACATTTGTTTGACATGAGAATTGACCATTTCAGGTTCGTTGTCAATTCAATTTTCATACTACATATAATTGAGGTATGGAAAAAAAAAGGATAGTTTACCTTCTGATTTTGAGATCGGTTCTGTAGTTACACCAACATCAGTTTCCATAGGTACATCAGCAATTGGAGCATCTTCAAATAATCCACCCGCCCCCATAAATTCTTGTCCTGTAAATATGAAAAACACAATAAGTCATTTATTATGAATGAATAAAAATATTTAAGGATTTAATTCATTCATATCTGTCATTATAAAATTGACCTTATGAAAAACAATACATAACTTTTATACACTGTCTTTTAACTATATCATCACATGTTAAATTTTAATTTTAATTTATTCGTCAAACTTTTATACCCAGGACAGTTTTATTTTGAAACATTGTCTAAGTAACAAGAAAAATTATTTCTTGAGTTTTCTTAAACCTTAGTTAGTTGAACTAATTTATTTGAAATGATCAATATTTCTATTTTTATTTTGATAAAAACAATGGAAAACAGCGGAAAACACAAGCTCTGATGGTACCAAGGTGGCTGGAATACTGAAATAAGATTTGGCCGGTCATGGTTGTCTAAATTCAGCAGACTAAATCAACAAAGATCATGTATATATCGCGTGAACGCACAGAATAGCTATGTACAGCTCTAATCATCAGCGAAGTGCACGACTGGGAGCTCGCCATGGGCCATGGCATTTGTCTAATATTTGAACTGTGCTGCTTATAACTATTTAAAAAGTAAAAAACAGTTGTATGGGGTAGAAAGACTAAAAGCCTCAGAGCTGTTGACAAGTTTCAAGCCTTATTTGCAGGAAATAATTGCTCAATTAACCCTTTATAAGAAATCGGCGACAAAAAGGACCATTTCAAAATAACATAAACAGTTATGAAAAAAAAAAGCATCGGATAACACGAATATTTAATGTATTCAAATATCCACGAGATTATATCTGTGAACGGATATTCAGATACAAGTTTCAACACTACTGTCTATCCCACTACTCCCATTTAGATAGAGTCACAGAATTGTTATTATTCATCGATGCATGAATCGACAGAATTTAAGTCAGTTATTTTTGGCAGGGATTTTGTGCGTTTATCTTTGATGTACAGTATGTAATAAATGTTAATTAAATTACTGGTGCACTGTCATGGTCAATAGAGTTAGATTACATGTAATGTATATGGTAATATATACATCAGTACCAGTATTTAAAACCTTACCAAAAATATCATCTCCAAACCCAGGATCATTGTCCTCATCATCGTCATCATCATCATGGTGATCATCTAACAAACAAAACAATTCAACAAATGAACCACCAAATTTTAACAAAAAGTTTCAAATTCAAACAAAACAATTGCAATATTCAAATATGGATGTGACCACTAACAAGATTAGTTTAGTCTTCAAAATCTGTCATCGGCTCATCACCAAAATTTCTTTTTACAATGCTACGACTATTCTGAACTACAAAATTAGCAAGTCAAACAGAACAATAAAATAACAATAGCAATTGGTTTTGAAAACAAACTATAAAAAACAAAAACTCTTGTAATCAGTAGCAGCCTACCCATGAATGGAATTCCACCACCGAAATCCTCATTTTCTCCAGGCATATCAATGTCCATGGGTTTTCCCAAATCATTTGATTCGCCTAGTGATTGGTCTTTAGTGGAATTGATTTCTGTGACATCTGCCTGTTTAAAGAATGGATCATCAACATGGGACTGGTCTCGCAGAATCTCTCTTTCATCAAAACCAACATCACCTAAAAAAAGATATAAAATATCATCCAATTATCAAAATACAAATTGATATTTCTTAACTTTACTCTACATTTGTGGTGAAACTACATCTGTTGTACAGCAAATTGAAATAAATCCAGGGTCTGCTTTTTCACAATTGTAGTATGATTTCCAAAGATTTTTTTATGGATTTGAACTGTGCTTAAAAACTATGAATTATCTCCACAATTCCTCATTACGTGATCAATATACATAGTATCAGAATTTCCTAATGTTCACTAAAACATTACGAGAATGATGATCAAGTGTTTAAAAAAAAAATACACAACATATTAGTCTAAACAAAACAGTTATTTCTGCTAATTAGAAAGAAAGATTGCCAGGCAACAAACCTTACGCCCACAGCAGCTAAGTCGTCCAGGCAGTCAACAAGGGTTGTCAGTAATGAAACATTTACAAATTAAAATCTGATTTTAACACTGCATTAATTAATTAGCAGAAATCAAGGGCCATAACTCTGGCAGTAATGACAGTAAATCGTTGAAAATCAATATGCTTCTTAGTCTTATGACCTGAAACACTGTATATATTTGAAGTGAATCGAATAGCTTTCGCCTCTAGACAACACCGAATGATGTATGGACGGACAAAGACAACGATAATATATGACCACATTTTAATGTGGGTGTATAAAAACGTGCAATTTGTTTTATGATAAATGTGCTCTATCTGATGCATTTACAATTTCATTTCAATTTACAAAAATTATTATTAATTGAAGCAAAAATCCTATATTTTAAGGAGGTGGTTTCTGGAAATAAGTGTTATATTTTATTCTTCAATTTTATTTCTTGAGTAGTTGACTACTCCAGAGCATTTCATATATGTACCACTTATTTCCATGTTTCTGCCTTCCACAATAAAAATCTAGGTCTTTCTCAGATTCTTATTCCAATTGGAATCTTTCCACTGAAACTGAAGATATTTTAAGACACCGATTTTGATTGGACAAGAAGCTATAGTGGGTCAAAGGTCTAAATTTTTTCCAACCAATAATAACCATGGTTGCATAATTTTTCAACCAATGGTTGAAATTAAAAACAAAATAACCGAATTATTAATTTCGATTGTAGGGATATTTTCGAAAACAAAAGAAATCCAATTGGAACAGGAACTGAGCACCTTTGACCCACCAAATAAACCTCTTACCCTTTCGCCATCGGAGTCTTCGAGAACGTCGCAATTTTAAGGTTTGGTCAGGGTTTGGTTCCTCAAATTTCTGCATGATTATTGTCTTTTTTAAACTTGTGTACGGTTTTACCCTAGGCAATTCTTCATCACTGACATCATTATATAAACCTGTGTCAGTTGAAATATCGGAGCCATGGTCTCCGAAATCGTAGTACCCTGGATCACATTCCATACCAAGGCCACTATCAAGTTGCGATAATTTTTGTGGAGAAGGCACCAAAAGATCCTCACTTGTCGAGTTCGGCGAATTTTCATCTTGGTTTTTAAAAGATGGTGACTTTGCTTCTGGTGTAATTGGTGGTGTTAAGTCAATTCCTAAGTCACAGGAAAATGATGGCTGCCTAGATTCTTTCTTGACTGGAGTGGATGTTTGAACTGAATGGTCTTGATTTTCTAAATAACTTTCCGAAACCTTCTCTAATAATTTAGGTGGTTTTGAGTTTAAAAATTTATTGGAATTTGAGTCTGATTGTATGCAAGTACATGTATCACAGATTAATTGGGGAAAGGATACATCTATCCCACTGTCTGTACTGAGGTTTCGATTAGAGCACTGAAAACACCTTGAGATCGATGTAATACTGTTATTAGATGTAGCACTAATATTAGATGTTTGTGACAAAGATTTAACACATTTCCCTGACAAATAAGCACTATCCTCAAGAACACTGCTAGTGTCTTTTTCCACCAACTTCTCAACAAAAATAAAGTTATCATCACAGATATTGCTGCTTGTGTCAACATTGTCTTTAAATAATTTAAGGTTTTCCTTCCCATCAAAGGTAAAGGAATGCTGCCTTTTGAATATGTTTATATGTGTTGGACTGGTTTGGTCAATTAGTTCCAATACCACATCAAAGTCTAATGGATGATCACGAAGACAAGTTTTAAACCCATACATGATAAGACAAATTTCAGACTCGTCAATTTCACCTCCCAAATCATCATCCTCTCCTGATCAAATTAATAACACATTGAAAATTCACTGAATTGATCTTGAACAAGGAATTCAAGGCATGCGATTATATTACGTTAAAAAAACGTTATGAATAATATGCAGGTAAAAACAAGAGCGGTCCCGACACACCACCTCAGATGACGGTATAATAAATTGTCTTACATGTATGCCAATAATAATTATTTGTACATAATTTTGTTGCTGTAAATACACCAGCGCAATTTTTAATACATGTATAAGAGAATTATGCTTTGACATGATATATTTTAACAGCAGATATCAAAAGATTTAAACAATAAGAAAAATCTGTATCTTACCAAAACCATCATCATTGAGTAATGTAATATTTGCGTAATCCTCTCGCATTGTGATTTCTTCTGGACGACTCTGATTTACGGAAAATTGTGCTTGAACATCTAAATCTCTATAAAAAAAAGTAAACTTGTGACATAAGCTTATGATATATGTGTATATCTGTTATGTGTAAATGATTGACATCGTTTCGGGACTAACATGGTTTAATTTTATTTCAATAATTCGCTTGCGCGTAGCGGTCTCTAGCAGTTGGAAGAAACCGGAGGACCCGGAGAAAACCCACGAGGTTGGACAGGCAACCCTACTCGTTGTCACGTACAATTGACATCAATGTTCTCCATATTTTAGAAAATAGACCAAACTACATGTAGACCTCCCTTGTTTGTAATTAGGGTGATTTAATATTCCTTTTATCCAAATATTAATCTGTACTTATATGTGTCAATCTGAATCTTTTGGTATTGTGGAATCTATTGTCTCCGAAACAAGTATGTCCTAAATGGAAAGATTTTCCTTTTTTTTCTCAATTTTTTTAGAAACTACTTACTCCAAGTCAGCTAACGTGGTTTCAAAATCATGGAAATTTTCTTGTAATGTGATGGCAGCCACAGCAGCTTCTCTATTTTCTTCAGGTAAATCTACCACACCTGGCCTAAAAGCCATTTTAATTTTCACAAACGCTTCATTACAGTCCGCTAATAAATATTTAGCTTTTCTAGAATAAATTCTCACAACACCAAGTAATAAATGTCCAGATGTTCGTAATGCCATCTTTACCTAGAATTCAAAAAAAAAAAAATACAGGTGTAAGAAAAAGATTGAATAGAAAGTTTAATCAGCTCTTAGAGCAGAACCTGAAAGGGTTCATATAAAACAAAATTTACGCTGTCTGCCTATAATTGACCGAAATAAATTCCCACATTTATTTCAAAGCATAAAGTGTAGTAAAAAATCTGTAAATAGGCGAACAGCCTTCCCAGATTTCTCTCAGCTACTAGTTTCGTTCTTATTCGAACTCTTCAGGCTTAAATGAGGATGTGCGGTGGCATAAAGTGTAGTTCGAGAATGGTACACTAATTTTAAACATCAAATTGTCGACTTTCAAGGTCAGAGATGTAACCCTACAATACAATCGATAGTGCTGAGTGTGATAATGGGTTCATATTAAGCACTCTATGGGTGTAGTCTTTTTCAAACATGGATTGATATTCCCAACCCCATGCAAGGAGGTTATTTTAACACATTACATGCCTCATCCCCATGCCCTCCTTTTATTTTTTATTCTTATCAAGTTATTAACTCACCTTGGGTTTTAAAATTGCTTCCACACTTGAATCAATATTAGTTTCAAAGACATGAGCCTTGGTTAGCTTTTTATCCCAATGGGCAGCCAACCAAATACGGGCCAATGGCCCTTTCTTACTGAGCACGAAATGTGCATAAAACATTTTGTTATTTTAGTTGTTACCAAACCTGAAATTAAATCCATATTTTTTGTTAATCTTTTGAACTTCACAATTATAAACAGAAACTTGTTGGATTTTGTACAGATGGTGCAAATGTGATGATGGGAGAGCGTCGTGGAGTGAAAACTCGCCTGAAAGAAAGTGGAAATGTTGACTACATCTTATCAGTTTGGTGTCTTGCTCACAGATTAGAACTGGCAGTGAAAGACACATTCAAAAATACATTTATGAGCACTGTTGTTGATGTTTTGTCTTCAATTTTGAATTTCTACAAAGTGTCAGCAAAACGAAATTGTGAGGTTAATGAACTTGCCATTATAATGGATGAAGAATTTTTAAAACCTGAACGTGCTAATGGTACCAGGTGGGTCTCTTATAAATTGAAATCTACCACAAAGATGATAGAAAATTGGAAATTAATTAATTATTCAGAAGAAAATACAACAGGGTTCCCTCGGCTTCGTCAATCATTTTTTCAAGGATATTCAAGGATAAATATACGTCAAATTCAAGGATTTTCAAGGACATTTTTTAGCCTAAAGTTACAATTTTTCATCTTATAAAAATAACCAAAACATTACCAACTATCGTTATAATCTCATATTTAAAAGGAATTCAAGACATTTGAAACAAAATTAAGGATCTCAACTGAAATTCAAGGATATTTTCCTATTTCCGCAAAATTCAAGGATAGGCTATTCAAGACCTTGAAAATGAAATTTTAAATTTAAGGATATTCAAGGATTTTCAAGGACCGCTGGAACCCTGTACAAACAAACCAGAGGACAGAGCAAAAGCCAAAGGAATTATAACCAAAATAAGACAGTATAAATTTGTGTGGTTCTTGTACTTTGTCAGTGATGTACATGTACTAGCTGAAATGTCCAGAATTAGTTTATTGTTCCAGAGAAGTGATGTTAATGTCGCTGGTGTCTTAGCCAAACTTGAATCTTTCAAGTTGTCACTGAAAAATATGTTGCCTAATACAGGTCCACAACTTCAAAAGGTTTAACACTGACGTGGACGGCGTGAATTTTAAAGATCATGTTTTAATTAATGTTATTGGGTCCACTACCTTGGATAAGGAGAAGTCAGAAATTGTTAACGACTTGATTAAATGTATAGATGAGAGATTCACCAATATTTGCCAAGATCCTATTTTCTTATCATGCGTTATCTTTGATCACAGAAACTGGCCTGAAGCTGACGACACTCTTTTATTGCAGTATGGGCAGAACGAAATCAAATACATCACAGACCATTTTCGTCAATTACATTATCGTATTGGCTGTGATTTTACAGAGGCTCAAAGAGAATCGGCTGATTTAAAATTGTACATTTCGAGAAATCAACATTTCAAGGCTGTTAACCCACTTTCGGTTTGGCAGAGAGTCAGCATTGAAAACACTGAGAAAGCAGATTACCAGAATATATGAAAATCATTCATTTAACTAGTCTGTATCCTCTATCCAATGCTGCCTGTGAAAGAGGGTTTTCTAACATGAAGCGGATAAAAACAGACTGGCGGTGTAATCTCCATACAGACACCCTGGATGCCTTGATGTGCGCCTAGATATTGAAGGTCCCAGTCTTATTTACTTTGATCCGAGGCCCAGTGTAAACTGATGGTGGTTAAGTGGCCAGAAGACAAGGAGGCCAATGCTTGTGTGTTTTCAAATAAAGTTCTATTCATGGTTTATATAACATTTCAGGCCTAAAGAAAGACCTACAATAAGCAGATTTAGCTCTTGCATAATGACAATGTATGTTTAACCTTTTAAGTAGCTTGTTCATAATCGAAGAAATCTGTTTAAAATTTATAAAGACAAAAGATTCAGACAGTAACTCTGTTCATAATAACAGTGTAAAATATAGCTGGAATTTTAAAAAAAAATACAAAAATAAAATATGAAGTCAAACCAAACTTAATCAAAATGAAAATCAAAGTAGGGCCTACCCTAAAATTCGAGCCAATATAGGTCCAATTAATAAATTATAATCCCAGTTTTCCCTAAACAAGAGAATACTATGCATTCCGTCACATGACTTAGTACGCTCAAGATACTTCTTTCAAGTTCGTCAATAAATCGGAAATTCCAGCACTTCGCGCGCTTGGGATGTCAATAATGAAAGCACGCGCAAACACATAATGGCCACCGTTTGGTTTTACTATGTTTGGTGGGTCGTGCAAGAAATAATTAACCCGGCACAGTATTTCAAATTTCCCATCGACTCAAAGAAACTGATAATTAATTCAGATTTTGTTATAACCACATACATATTCAGGACAGCGACGTTTGCGACGTGTATAAATTGAAAAATTATTCAACGGTAACGATGACATCGTCATGGTGGGAAATCTACTACTAAAATCTAATAATTAATATGCTTCAAAATATTTTACGATAAACACTAATATAACGGTTGTTATACTCACCAATAATTTTGACAAAAAATGAACAAGATCATTAGAAATCTAAATACACCGTTAAATTTGCTAATCGGGTGGGTTTTTACAGTAGAATTCGTCTAAAGAAATCATATTTTGTAGCGGCTGCACTCTTTCGAAGATGGCGTCCCTCTTGATTCCCGCTCAATTTTAACGGGACTTTTTCTTCCGCACGTTAAATAGTTCACCATCAAATCAATGTATTTCATGCATTAAACAGTATTATAAGGAATAATTTTATAACCCCGATTAGGTTGGTTATGGTCATAATGTCACAAACAAGAAATTATTTATCGTCATTAATTTTTATTTATTAAATAATAAATAGGCGGATGAATATTGTATACATTGCAGGTGCCCTAGATTCAGCGAGGTGAGCGATTTGTAAGCGATCGGCACAGCCACGCTCACTGCAAGCATATGAATTGAGTTTAGGCTACTACTAAATAATTAAGACCCTTTTAAATTAATAAACAAACAGTATCCTAATAAAACGTACAAATATAAATGCTTTCAATGCAGGTTATTCATGAATGAGTGCCAAATTTTGGAAGCCTATTATTAGATCTAGGCCACTAGTAGTAGTTACATTGGATCATTGAAGTTCGATTGACTGAAGCTGCCAGTGCGCTTTAACCGGATGTCGTTCCCTTGTAAAGGTCACATGATACAAGAAATTCCAAGATGGTGGCAATATCTACAGCGTGAAGAATTATTCCTGATGTTATTGAAATAAGTCACGGTGTAAAATGCATTATCTACGTCCATTTGATTAATTTGCAATTACCACATTATGGAAGAACAGAGAGAAATTCCTCCAAACGGTTAGATTTCATGCAATTTTAAATCTTCTTACTTTTTCGACAGTTTTGTTGTTGTCACAACCCCACTGTGCTGTGGTGACTGTGTCAGTCACTCAGTGTGTGTGTGACAACTCACATGATCATAATCGTTGATCAGACAATAATAATTTCTTCCGTTTGTGTTGAGGTAACTGACAGCCCCAGAATGTTACCTTTTGTCTCTGTGGCAAATTGCAGAGTTTAGCACAACTTTCTGATATCTCTTATATAGGTACTTTGACCTTTATTAGTAATAGTATGCCTTTAAAAAATATACAAATATGTGGATAATAATTAACAACAGAACATGCAGAATGAAATGAGGTTTAATCACTTTGTTTCACAGCGGTCTTGTGAAAGCCTTCTTTTAACTCAGTACAAGATGACTGCCCCTTCAAGTCACACCTAGTCACTTGTTGATTTATTCATTATTAATTATTAATTAGCTATATGTTAAAAATAATCACCATTTTTATACACAAAGAACAACTTTTGTCACGACTCCATTTGAAATTCATGGCGAATATGGAATTTTCTGATGATTATGAATAACAATAGGTCAATCTCATTTTCTCAGCTAATCAACGCTCAGAATTTTATTACCATATACAGTTCCATGTCATATAAGGCACTGCATACTACAGGCGTAGTAAGTAAGGGTACATTTGGAGCGAAAATTGAAACAGGCTTCTGGACATGAATAACAAAAACACATGATAATATGTGGAGTGTGGAATCCCTGATGCCTTTTTGTGAGTGATTAAGTTGTCAATGTTAGTGTAAAATACATTTCTATAAAGAAGATAAACGATGTTAGACATTATAAACTAATCTTATCACAAATGTTTATTCATCGAATAATTTATATTCATATTTCTTACCAAGTTAATTTAATGTTGTCTAAACATTAAGATTAAAATCATAACGTCAATCAACAAACAATACAACGCTACTTCATTACAAAAACATAGGTGAACTAATCTCGACCGTGATCGGTCAACCAAGGTAGCTGATTATTGGGTTAATAAAACAAGTAAAACTTATTTATGCAATACAATTAATGTTTATACGGGTCAACTATTAGTTGTGGACAACATAACCATTAGTTGTTGACAACATAACCATTAGTTGTGGACAACTTAACCAATAGTTGAGTATGACTTAACTGGCACCCATATGGCGTCAGTAGCACTTGCGCTGTCTACATTGTACGTAGTAATACAAACTTGTCTGGCTGAGCAGAATTGGTACTAAATTCCAAATTAGATTAGAACCATCAAATAGTCACCAAACAATTTGTGGTAATGCATTTTATATTTTCGAAGTGAAGGTTTTTTTAATGTACACAAGGAGTTAAAACCCAGTTATTAGTAGTGGAACCATTTCTATGACCAGTTGTGTTTTACAAGAGAGATATTTTGCACTCAAGCAGCCAATTAAACAAGACAATCTCACAGATTAAACACTGCTTAAGGTGAATCTTGAGAAATAAAATTCAAACTTTAAAGACTTTTAAGTAGGCTGTTGATCTTTGTATGGTTTCTAATTGTTTTATGTAAATTTTTCCTATTAATGTCCATTTGTACAATTTTTGTAAACCAGAATTACCTGTACCTGAAAATAATATATAACCAATGTAGTGAATTAAGCCAATAATTAGCTCATTTTAAGAACCACATGGTTACAGCAGGACTAATTTGTCAAAGAGTACCCCTCTATAGAAAATTCATGTTGACTTGCAGTGAATTTTGTTGAAAATGGTAACTTATAACATAAATTTGTCAGAGGATACCCCTCTATAGAAAATTCATGTTGACTTGCAGTGTATTTTGTTGAAAATGGTAACTTATAACATAAAAATAATATATTGTAATATGATTTTGTAAGATGTTTCATGGTAAATTAAAACCCTTATTAAAGCCTTAACATGCCAGAGTATAGGTTTAAGATCGAGTTGAAGACTGCACAATCAAAAGCATAGGCGTAGGAGCTCAAAGTAATTCAGGGGGGCATAAGAGAAAATTGCCCGAAATCAATACCGTTTTTTCGGGCATACATATCATAAGAGAGCGTCGGGCATATTTTCGGGCATGCAGTGGACAAGAAAAAGACGAGAAAATACTTTTCGGGCAGTGTGGATCTCATAGAAATAAGTTAGTTATATTTTTTCTCTAAACGTTAATAGAAAAAAAAGGTTGTCGAATTTTTCATTGCCCGAAAAAAACATTTTTTGGGGGGCAAATGCCCCCCCTGCCCCCCCGGCTCCTACGCCTATGATCAAAAGTACTTGTAATAAGACATTCCGGTCAAAATAAATTCCAAATTGATAAATTGTAATCTAAGTTATGGTCGTTCTGAGTTCACCTTAGTTTGTATGGATTTTTCACTGTCAACTTTGGGTCTCTACTTATACAAATATAGTGTGCATTCTTTTAGGTACATGTACAAGCAAGTTAATTCTTTATGAAGGTCTCTTTATACCCAGATGTTCTTCGTTATAACAGCAGTCTTTATTTTAAACTATAGGACATATTTTTAACTTTTGAAATAAATGAATTTAAGAATCCCCGTCCAACAGAAAACCACAACAGACTTGTAGAAGTAGAGGATCGTTTAATAAATCAACATTTCGGGTGTGGTACCCTTTATCAAGATTGAAATTATAATGATCCTGTGACGCCTTATATATAATAAAGGTGGTGACGTCACAGGATTTTTAAATTTATTATATGTACAATGCAGGATCTTTAAAAATAGGATTGTTAAAATTAGGATTGTTAAAAAAGAAGGATTGTTTAATTTAACTATGTACAAATGTAATATAAAATAGTAATTAAAAGATTATAAATAATTATTAAGATAATAAGAAAAATTATTATTTGAGAGTATGGTTGAAATTTTTACTGTTTAATTTAAAATGAAAAATTGTTAATGATTTCTAGTATGGCTGTGGCAGCGGCTGTTTCTTCTTCCTCATTTGGTTTTATGTTGGTGGGATTCGTTGATGGGCTCGACAGGGCTGGAGGATCTTCTTCTACTGGTTCTGTGATAAGTTGCTTATTTCTGACCTTTAGTATATGTTTGAAGCCGTTAATATAGACGTATTTCGGCCGGGACTGGAAAGGCCGGATCCAGTCTGTTGGAGGCCGGACTTCTGTGGCTTCGTCAGTGATGTTTTTAGGGTGAATAGTATTTGCCGCTACTTCTATATCTGTATTAGTATCATTCTTAGTGGTAGTTGTATTGGTGGCGAAAATCTGTTGTTTAGCGGCAGACTTCTTGTAAATTATTCCATTCATTCTTGGCTTGCGTTTTGTTTGTACTTTGTGAACGTTTCTTATATGCCGTTTACCATTACTGGCGTTTAAAAATTCCTTATTGCAGAATGGACATTCAAACATCTTCTTGCTTGTTTAGTTTTGTTCATTCAAACCTCCAGGCGCTTGGGTTGCTAGGAGGTCAATAATGGATTCTTCGTGACGTAATCTGACGTTGGTGTTACGTGACGTTTTCGTGACAATTTGTACCTGGAATTGGTGTCCCGTGGTGTTAAAATGTTTGGCTACAGGGGTGTCGTTGAACTTTTTAATATCGTTGTTATGTCCGTATAAACAGATTTTTAGAGAGTTGCCGGATTGGCCTACGTATTGTATTCTACAGTTTTTGCAGGTAATTAGATAAATGATGAATTTAGTGTTGCAATCAAGGTGATTATTGATTCTGTAAATTTTGCCGTCATATCTGGATATTACTTCGGTTGATTCTAATAAAAACTTGCAGCAGATGCAATTCCTCTTACATTTGTAAATGTAAGCTGTCTGGATTGTTGTGCCTTTAATGTCAGTAAAAAAAAAATGTCTTTACTTAGTCGTAAAGTAACGAGTAATGATAATTACTAGTGGAGAAATGAGTATTAGTAATTAATTGAATTGATAAAAATGTAAAAGTAATTGTTAATGGGGCCTTTTTGGCCAATTTGAATTTGGTCATTTTAATTCATGGCCATTTTGACAACATCCCGCCTCCACTGCCTTCCAGACTGCGGACCATTGAAATACCAGAGTTGGGACTTTGGAAGTTGTTTATTACAAATATAAAGTCTAATACATAATACATGATATTAATATGGACAGCTTGATTTAATTAAGGTTATTTTCCATATGAAGTAAGGAGTAATACAAAAAAGGGGGTAAACATAAAAAAGTTCTTGTATATATTTTATAAAAAAACAATTTAGAAAATGCTGTCAAAATTTGCTGTCATGAGAAGAGAGGGTGGGTCATCTTGTCCATTCATCATAATAAAGGGACTTTGGATTTGATTATCCAGTGTGAAAATAACAGGCAAGGCAGGTGGGTAGGAAGGCATTTACACCAACAAACCACTAAACCAAAATATATTTAACACAACAAATAGAGCTATGTCATCATTTGTTTGGGAGTTTCCCATTGAGACTAATCATAAGCTGATTGGCTAGTGTTAACCTTATTTCATTGGCTCAATGATTTCTTAGCCATTTCTTTACAACAGCTCTAAAATATTTGTCAAAACAGCTGTAGTACATGTATATAGACTATGTATGGAGATAGTCATTATATTTTGCATAATTGTAAGTAGTCCAATCCTATTGTTTGATGTAATAAATAGGTAGGTAGGTTAGGATTAGACCAGCAAGACTGGCAAATATGAATGAAATAAATAAGACTTGGAATAATTTGATATACATGGCTAAGGACTAAATAAGCTTACATGTATAGCTTAAAATTGTATCAAAAAATGGGGTCACATGTATATATATATACTGTTAATGATCTTACATGTATCTCTAATCTTTAGTTATGACAAGTGCACCAAAAACACTGTTCAAAGCAAATATCGTTTCCTCAGATGCACATACGAAAGACTAAAATGTTTCATGGCAAAAATTAGATATTTTTGGGAGGTCACACTGCAATGAAATTAATCTAATTTGAAAGACTGTC